AATTCCAACAATTTGTATTTTCATTGAAATGTGAAAATGGATAATATTTCTAAACAATAAAATCAGAAAATATTTCATTCATTCAACAGTTGTCATCTCAATAGTATCACCAATATCTTCATCTTCCATTATTCCCTGCATTAACCTACTGAACTGCAATTCTCGATTGTATGTTCGAAGTAAAACATATTCTCGATCACGGAGCATTTTCAAATGTTTTGCTTGCATAACTGCAGACCATGTATACAAATTTTTATTAATTAGATATGCAGCTTGCACTAATAAAAGAGAAATTATTATTGTTGTTATCCATAACACAGTGATAGCTCCTTCATTTTTATCTGCATATGTAACACTTTTGTCGTGAACTGCAACATAATTATTTCATATTACAGGTAGGAAATTTCTAAGACAATCAGAATTTGACTTTTTTAGTTGCTTTTAAATTTGACTTTTTTTAGTTGCTTTCATAATTACACTCAAAGTCTACTAATGTTTCTCTGTGAAGTTTTTAAAATGCGTAATAAAATAGGAACTGAATTACATAAAAGGACAGCTCACCGCCAGGATGATTTCAGGCAATGTAAAATATTTCCGGTTCTAACATTTTAAAATGATTCTGCTGAAATATTAATACAGAGTAAGTGAAGTGATCAGTTTTTGTGAAAAGTTAGAAATGTGATAATTAGCTGTGAAAAGTTGTAAAAAGTAAAAAAAGTTACTTTTAAGTGAGTAATTACAATATTTTCCTTAATATCAGTTATCAGAATTGAAAGGGAGAGTGAATATGTGGTTAAAGCTTTTTTTCATTTATTTTAACCATTTAAAATATTTAAAAAGCCTTTTCCTTCCTATAATTGTTTATTTGATAATTGTATTATTTGGTTTTTCTTATTGATTAGCTTATTAATGTATTAATTTTTCCGTCCATCAAGTAATATTATTAATGTTTTCTCTAAGTATTTCCATTGTTTGAGAATTTTTAAATTTAAAAGTTCTTCAGTTTAACATATTACATTTGATCAATTGAAAAGTCAATCGTATTCTATTTCAGTTTTCTGTTAATTTATGCTTTTAAAATTCTTCTTTTAAATTTCTTTACATTTTTCATTTTTCTGCTTATTATTAGAATTTTTTTTTTTTTTTTTTTTTTGTTACATTTCATTTTCCTAATTATTACTTTTTAATTTGTCTCTTTTTTATTTTTCTTTTCTGATGAAATATTCCTGTAGTCAACAATTAATTACACATAATTGTTAATTAATAAGCATCTAGTGTTGTTCTTATTTACTTTATTTCTGGAATATTTTGATCAAACAAAATATTCATAGTTTTTCCAAAAAATTTTTATTCTTTAATTTATGCAACTAATTTCTTCATTAAAACATTTCTAGAAACATTTTTATTTGTTTTTAAAAGATTTGAATTTGCTTAAAATTATTAGTAATTACTAACGAATATCTTTCTCAAAAACATAAAATAATTGAAATGATTATGATTTCAACAAATATTTTACGAGAAAATAAATTTGCAAAATCTAAGGTAACAAAGTGCTTATTACAGTTTTAAATCTGTTGTGCAAAAGAGGCAGTGCGATCGGGATGAGATTCGAACTCACGCGGGAAACCCCAATGGATTAGCAGTCCATCGCCTTAACCACTCGGCCACCCGATCCATGGAGCAAGTGACAAGTTCATTGATGGTTGAATTTATTTTAAAAAGAAATTTTCTCAATTTGAGATTAAAAGTTTATAAAAATTTTTTTCGAAATTCCTTCAAAATTTCAAAATTTAAAAAACTTCAAAAATTTAAAAAGTATAAAGGAAAATACTATTGTATGAGATCAGAAATGAACTCACATTCATGCATACAACATCCATTTGTCCTCTATTATGCTATCTTAATGTAAGATCCACAGAAATTACTCATTCCGCTTTTTTCCGGATTCGGATGACCTTTGTGCATTCTTTGTTTAATCTATATGATGTTTTATACTTTCAACAAAATTTAGCAAGTATTTTTGGAGGATTTTTCAGTTTATGTTCAAGAGATCTTTCGAGAAGATTTTTCCAGATAATTAAATTGAATGTTCATCAATATTCATATCTTTCTCGGGAAGGATTTAAAGATATTTCAGAAATATTTCTATATCTCGGGAAGAATTCAAAAGATTTTACCAATGGAATTTATTATCTGTGTGAAGAAAGATAAAAATTTATTTTGATTCTTTCTTTAATCTTCCTACATAAATATTTAATTCTTTGTGAATATGTCAGTCAGTTCTTAAATATTTAAATGAAAAATTATCAGTGTAGTACCATTGATATTCTTACTTTCATTATCAGTATAGTACCATTGAAGTAGTATTATCATCTCTTCCATATCGATTCATTGCATTTCACATCTTCCTTGGGTTCAAACTTGGGTAATTAAGCAGAAATAATGAAATAATCAGATAATAGCAGATTGAAGTTTTTGAAGCAGTTGCTAAGCTCAGTAAAAAAAAAAATTCATTCATCTTTGAATTTAACAGTAATAAAGTAATAAAGTTTGAACTTTTTTTAGTATTGAGAAAATTGACTTTTAACAAATCGATCATTTATACTATTAACTTGTTAGCATATGAAATTAATTAATGGCTAATTAGTAAAGCTAATTTCTTACGCACTAAATGTTAATGACATATTGCAAATAAAAGATAGAAATGATAAGGATAATTGATATTTTCGAATGATAAATTTGATATTTTGAAATGAAATGGTAACAACCATAATTTTCAGTGAATTTATCGCATTCATTTCTCTCCACAGTATAAAATAAAAGAATAGATAATGTGGAAAAAAGAGCAAAAAAAGACGAGAAAGATTTTTTTTTTCTTTAAAATTAGATCTGAAATTTTAATTTGTCTTTTAAAAGTGAAAAAAAATGAATAATTTTATTTTCAATACATTCAATAAAATTATTGCATTCATAAATTTATCAATTCATAATCACTTTTCACTTCATTGCTTTCTTCGAGAATTCTAAAAATTTGAAAGATTAAAATTTAAAAATAATTTAACTAATAATTTTTCACTTACAGCAACAATTCATACATTCATTCATATGGATAAAATTTCTAGCTTTTCTTTGACAAAAAATTCTAACAAGAAATCTAACAACGATTTAACTTCAATTATTAGAGTTAAAATATATTAATTGCTTTAATTAATTATAAAAGTCAATCATTTTTCTTTTTGAAATATGTCGATAAATAAACGAAAAGTTTAAAATGAACATTAAAATTAATAACTTACATGTAGATAAGATACTTGCATAGTGGCAGCAGTACATTACTAATTTCAAAATTTTCGACATCTCGTCTTAAATCAAATATCATTTCAATTTCATGATTTATCGAATAACTTTGAGCTATATATGATTGTTTCTAATAATATTATAGATAAAATTTGGATTTCATTTTAAAGTATTCCAAAATTTTTGATTGTCTATAAAATTCCCAAAAAAAAAAAAAAACGAAAATTTATTAAGCATATCAACTTGCAATTGAAAATATTTTTCTATATGAAAAATAAAATTCTGCTTTTTTCTTTATGTTCAAAGAAATTTTTCATTTAATATTCACAATGATTAAAGATTCCATTGAAGTTTAATTTTTCCTTGTTTATTTATTTATTTTTTTTTGATTTATTAATAATATTTTATCTATTCGATAAAAGAGGAAATTATTTATCCATATTTCAATTTAAGTTATGTTATAATATGAATAAACAAATATATGTAAAACGACAAATGACATTTTCTAAGTGAAAAATCATAACTTTAATGAATAATAATAATTATTTGGATTTATCAAAAATTTAACTCAAAAAGGAAATAAATTGTGGCTTTTATTTAATGTGAAACAAATTTTAGGTTATTAAATTAGCAAATTTTTGCTTTTACTTATTATTTTTATGAAGATTAATATAAAATATAAAAATTAAAAAGATTAATATGAAATATAAAAATTAAAAAAAAAAAGAAAAAAGCAGGAATTTATTATTAATTTTCTCTTTCGCCTACAGAGGAAAGTACAAGCAGAAATCACTCGAAAAATGCAACAATTTTAAATTCTAAATTTTAATGTCCTTTTATAGTTTTAATAAATTTTAAAGCACACATACAACCAACTAATCGATGAATTTTCCAACATATTTGGATTCATTAAACAGCTGAGATTTAATATTTGCTTAAATAATTTCATTTTGAATTTTAATTGCAATTGAATTAATTTAAAACATATAAAATAAAAAATGACCATACCAAAGATTCAAGAAGTGACGTATCGGTTTGCGTTGATTTCACTCGTTGCTGTCCACGTGATTCAATTTTTTTGATAATTTGTTTTTACCTAATTCTGGCATAACCTTATATAAAAATGTGATTCCTCAGTGGCATTTTTGATAAGATATTGTCAAAACTTATCAATGGTTCATCCTCTGCAATACAAATTAATCAGATTGTATTTTAGTTAAAAAACGTAGAAATATCTGTGAAGCAAAAATTTTAATTAAAAATTTAAAATTATCAATTCTTGAGCAAAAAAAAAAAAAAATTTGAATTACATATATTTGTCACTCCAATCTTATTATGCTCTTTCTTTTGTTTTTTTTTTATTTTTAAAATCTGCCTTGAATAAATAAGCTATTTCAGTCTAATGTAATCATTTATAAGATAGTAATTATAATTTTATTGTAAAATCCTTTTCCAATCTAAAAATTCACAATTATTACAAGTTGAACTGAAAGATTTTCATTATAGTTTAATATTTCAGTAAAATATTATTAATGATAAAATATAATAGTTAAAAATGATTCAAAATTGAACTCTATTCACATATAATAATATTTCTAGGAAATATATGAAAATTCAAAATATTTAGTTTCATTTAAAAAAAGCTACTTTTTATGCTAATTTATCATTTAATAAATCAAATAAATAATAACTTGAGTAACCTTTTAGTAGCTCCTGACTGGTAATATCATTTTTGCTATCATTATTATCATTATCATTATCAATATCATCATTATCAACGTGATATTCGAATTGTTCATCATTGCATTCAAGTTTTTCAATGCATTTTTATATTCATTGTCGATATTTTTATCCATTCCCTTGCAAATAAAAAAACAAAAATAAAAATAATTCAGTAAAGAAAAAATTAATAATTTAAAAGTAATTCAGTAAAAAATTTTATTTCAAAAAAAACCCAAAAATTTTTTTTTCATAGAATGTATGAAACTTTAATTTTTAATTGGTAAAAAAGTAAAAGTATAAAATGCAAATAAATAAAATAAAATGAGTGATAGTAATTAATTTCCCAACATTTAACTGAATTATTACACATATGTCTGAAATTAATTGGTTAAAATTTAACAAAAGTACAATGTTAGTACTAACGAATGCAAAATGATTTCTGCTTAAGATAATTAATTACAATAGCTAATGCTTCAATTTGTTGTTGGATGACATTGATGACAGTTGACACTAATGCAAGGCCAATTAGTAAACATATAGCAATATGAGCAATGTAATCTGGTTGACTTGGTAAAATGTCACCAAATCCAATAGTTGTAAATGATATTAATGTGAAATAAAGTGACGTACCTGAAAAGTAACAAAAGTTAAATTACCACTTTAAGCATTTTGTTGTACATTTGCAAATTTAGATTAACATAGAATTTTTATAAAATAAATTAACATATTAAAACGTAAAAGTTGCACTTCCGTGTTTCTTTTTCTTTTTTTTCCCTTAAACATGCAAAACAAATAAATCATTTAATAGAGAAAAAAGAACGAAATGAATTATATTTTAAGTAATTTAAATATTTCAAAAATTTTTAATGTAAAAAAGGATAATGCGAAAAGGCTTTGTTTACCATAAGACCAATCATTTTCGAAAATGAGAAATAAACCAGCGCAAATGAATGCCCAAACAATTGTTATTATAATTAAACCGCCCACCGGGAAATTCAGCAATTCTTCATTTTCATCCAAAACAATTTCTGATAATGTCATTTTCTCTTCCTAAAAAATAAAAAAGAGAGAGAGAGAGAGCAATTTTTTGCTTATAAACTTTTGATATTGTTAAGTGTTTGATTATTAATTTTAAATGAAATGATAGCTTTTAAAGTTTTCAACCTGTTTAATCACTTTTACAGTTTATGTAATTAATTTTTAATTAAATAAAACTGTAACACTTTTATTTAACAATTAATTTATTTAACTTTTAATTTTTTTTTTTTTGTTGTTAATTTATTCAACGATGAATTTGAAGTATATTAAAAGGAGCAAAATATGAAATGTTTAAGTAGTTTGAATAATAAAATGATCCATTAAAAAATTTCATGCATTTCATGCAATACAATTGATCGTAATATTTTAAAATTTTTTAATCAATGCAAATAAAATAATATGTATATAAAAACATTTCTCTACTGTCAATAGTATTCAAGTGGAATTTCGAAAATTTTTTAAAAATTTGAATTTCAAAAATTTCCTTTTGATTGTTGAAATTGGAATTTGTTGACATTAGTGCTAATAATAATTATTACAATAAATGATTTTGAAGCATAAAAATTTTAAAATTCTACATGGTGTATTCAAAAAAAAGTCAAACTTCGAAAGTAAATAATAGGCAAAATATTACATTTCAATGTTTATATGATTTCGATAATTTAGGGTAATTAACAATTATCATTGTTTTTCATAATTTATATGAGAATTTTTAAAATAAAAAATGAGAATCCATCCTTACGATATGTTTCTCGAGATCTTTCGAGACAAAACGCGATGATCGAGCTAATGTTTTAGCTACGATAAGCCATAACATTTTGCAAACTCGTGCAAATAAGCCACCTAATGCGATTAGTGATAATAATGTTAGCGGTATACCAACGAATGCGTAAATTAACGTTAACATACGTCCAAGTGTCGTTACCGGATAAATATTTCCGTAACCTTAAATATACTAATTTAAAACTAAAAGTTAAAATAGCAATATTTATAGAACTTCTTAAATGATGCATTTTCATCCACTAACTATAATAAAATCAGCTGAAGTCATCGTTTCACTACTATTAAGCTTGATTATCAATGATAAATTGATTGCAAATTGTACTTTGCACTTTAAATCAAAATTAAATACTTTTTTCTCAATTAAATATAATTTTTTTAAATCTAAAAGTTTTTAATTAAGTAGTTTTTTTAATTAAATAATTTAAATTAAATATTGCTATTACTAATTATAGTTCGACTGAAAAAGTTAAATAATTAATGATCACATTATCAATTGATAACGAAATTTAGCAAATTAAATCATTACTAATTATTCCTACCAATAGTTGTATAAACAGTAAGTGAATAAAAGATTGATCCCCAGAATGTCCATTTAGCATCTTCCATTGTGGGATATTTCATTCCTAATTTTTTTCCTAATTTCTTCAACACTCGAATTGTTTGATTATATGCTCGCATTGCACTTAATCCTTTTAAATTGTGTATTCGATATGCCACATCCTAAATTAATGCTTTAAATTTTAAAATTAATCATTTCAAATAATTTGATTTCAAATAATTAAAAGTATAGTTCTACATATCAAAATTATCAAAAAAAAAACTTGATGTAATTATTAATAAGGGGTGCACTAATTATGATTGCATACATAAATCAAAATAATAATAATAATAGTAATAAAAATAATATTAGTAATAATAATGATAATAATAGTAATAACAATAATAATAATAATAATAATAATAATAATAATAATAACAATAATAATAATGATAATAATAATAGTAGTAATAATAATAAATGTAATTAATCATTTGAAATAATTTAAACAAGTATACTTTTATCCATCAAAATTATCAAAAATTAAATTTATATATATTAAAATTACTTCATATATTTCACGCTGTTCACGTTGATGTAATTCAATGTCTCGACGTTCATTTGGCCCTTCCACGTACATAAACATAAATGCGCCAATTAACGTATACGCTATCAATATTCCAAGTGGTATCAGTGGACGAAGGCCAAATCGTTATAAATTTTTGAATTGTTTTTGCTATTGGCATTTTTTATGCCTAAATTTAGTTAACAAAAAAAAAAAATGTAATAAAACAAATTCATTTATATTTTTGTAAACTTTTTGATATTATTTTATTTTATTTTAAATATTGTTCGTCACGTTTACACGAACACACATTACGGTATATTCCAAATGAATTAATTAAAATCAATTTCTATTTCTATGTTAAAAAAAATTGCTAGAAAAAAAAAGGGAAATTTCAAAGTTATAAATAGATTAAATATATAAAGACAAAATGGAAAGAATTGCTAAATATTTTGAAATTGCAATTGAAATTTATAGTTCATTACACGTAAGTATCAACATAAAAGATAAATTTATGATTTTTTCATAAATTTAATAAATGATAAAAGAAGTGAACAAAATAAGAGAAATGGAAAATAAACGGGCGAATTGTTCAAAGTTAGAGTTAAAACATTTTTTCTCTTGACACAGCACAATTAAAAAAAAAAAAAATTGAACATAACGGAAATATCAAAAATAATTTCAAATTTTAGCATATCAATGATTTTTTTCTTTTGAAGCAAATTTTAAATGTAAAAATTTGCCTACAAATTGATAAAATTAAAAAAAAAACGTTTAATTTAAACTAATATAGTCAATTATTTCAAATTAAACAAAAAAAAAAAAATTCAAATGACAAGAAAACAAAATAAAGCGAACCTGAAACGGAAAAAAACGGAATAAATAGTAAAATGAAAAGTTTGAGAAAACAGAAAAACAAAAAAAAAAAAAAAAAGAAGAAAACGAATCGTAGTTTTTAATGAAAAACAGAAAGTGCTAAATGCTAATTCGAAACCTTCTCATATGCTTTCATCAGTTTTACTTTTCGAGAACGAATTGGATGGATTTTGCTGATTGCTCAGGCGGAAAGGTCAAAGTAAGATGTCAGATAATATATCATCGTGGATATATTCAATTGCTAGACGAAAATGCATGCAATAATTACTGCTTTGTAATTTATCGCAAAAAAAGAAAGAAAAGTAAAATTTGAAATTTTATCATTTTTATTGCACAATTGCAAACTTTTTACCCACAAATAATTAACAAATAGTTATTGCTTATTTGTAATGAAAATTACAAAATGAAAAAAAAAATTGAATTTTGAAAATTTGTCGCTTTTTTGAGTTGCAGTTTATATTGCAGTGCTTTGTTAATTAAAAATATTTGCAGACAATTACTGTTTTAATAATTTGCTGAAAAATACAAAAGTAAAATTAAAGCTTTTCATCCTGAAATTAAAATATTAATGGAAATATCACTGATATTATCATCGTACTTATTTATCTTATGCAAATGTATTATGCTTTGCATTTGTTAATATTTGATATATATCGAGATTCAGATAATATCTGCTTGTAGTGATAACGATCGATGAATATTAGTTGTAATTAATTAATAATTTTAGCACTTATCTTAATTGAATACAAAAATGTTAGCAACAATGATATGATAGTGATAACAAATATGCAATAAATGATAATTATTAAGAACAATGATAGCAGTTCAAAAATAAGCACTGATGACAAGTAAGATAGTGATAATAATTATATATAAAAATAATGGTTATGAAAACCGCTGCAGCATTCAGTAATAGTAATAATACTATTAATGACAAAAGATTGATAATAATAGTCCAATGATAATAATAATAATAATAATAATAATAATATAGTGTTTCAGGATCATAAGTAAATTCTCATAGTCGAAGAATGATAAATCATAAGAGAAATGGTAGCAGTCATCATAACTAAAAAAATTTGAATAAAAATTAACTAAATTAAACAAAATAACCAGTTAATTATATAATTAAAAAATAATATATAATTAATTGTTAAGTAAACTTAAAGAGAAATGTAAACAATTTAAAGTAATATTTCAACAGCTGTTAATTAACCGATAATATCTTTTGGAATTGAACGTACAAAAACGTTCTAATATGCTTTCTTTTTTTTTTTTTTTGATAAGAAGATTGTCATTTCTTTCATTTTTTTCTCCTTTACACTCTTCGTTTTTCTCTTTTTTTATTTTTGTTTTGTCTTGTAAAAAATAAAATTTAAATGAAATGATTAATCATTTATTAGATGTTAATTTGATATCATTTATAATGATTCAATCATTTATGATAATTTATAATGATCTTAATTAATTTATTGATTTTTATAATAATTGTCATTTAACAAACAATTTTAAATTAGTAAGTTGAAGGCAATAATTTCTTAAAAATTTTCCTAAATAAGACCACATGAAAAAATGAATTTAAATGCATATTTCTTGTTTAATTTTAAAATATATCATAAAATGCATATATCATAAAAATATAGCAAAAAAATCATAAAAAATGCATTTTTTTTCAATTAAAAATTTTAATTAAAAGCAATTATTTATTGCCAATTTTTAATTTAGTAAAATTTTTAACATAATATTTTAATTTGAATTATCACTTATATCTGTTATTTGAGAACCACTCGTTTCTTGACATTCTGAAGATTCTATTTCATACGTCCAATTTTGCGTGATTTCTGAATTTGTATTCGTATTGCAAAGCAATTCATTTGGATCAGGCCAAGCTTTCAGTAGTACAACACGTAAGCACTACGTGAAACTGAATTTGTTGTCGTATTTTTGAAATTTCTGAAATTCGTACTATTTTAGTTCGAATTTTAAAGTTGTGGTAAATATCACATATCGAATGAAAAAATGCTTTCAAGCTACTTTTAGCGATGGTAGTGTTTTGTTAACGTCATATGGAACATTTGCTAAAAATCGAAAATACTTGATTGACAAAGTCTGGCATTATATAATACTTGATGGGGGCATAAAATTAGAAACCCGGATGCGCAGGTAGTAGTTGTCTTTACTTTTTATACGAGTTTTTATTTTAATTTGTGTAAAATGCTTCATAAAAGTTCATGAGAAGATCTTGATATTCGTTTCGCCCATCTGTTGATTTCTACATTTTTTAAAATATGAATGCGATGATAACTCAAATTCTTTATGTGATAGGAGGAGATTATTAATCTAGGAGAACAAGTTATCATGATACGCATTTCTTAAAGCATATAGAAAGTATAGCAAAAGACGCTCAGGAGTGCAATGTAATAACAACTTAATTTCCAACTAATTTTTTATTGCTTCGGATTCTTTTTGCAGGTAAAGTTATTTATTTTAAAGTAAGATGTCCCTAAGATCATTATTTAATATTTTTCTACACTTAAAATCACAAGTCTTAGTTTTAAGATTACTCTACCGTGAAAGAAATACATACTCCTCACAAATTGATTCTAAGCGGTTCACTGTTGCAAAATTCTCTTCGAGAGTTATGGTATGTGTTTAAGCTATTTTCAGTTCAGTTTAGGGTCACAGTGCATTTAGATATGTATAGAATATATTTTTGTCGACTAAACTTGAAGTATGATTATGAAAAAGGTGTGTTAACTAAGCTCTAAACTCTTTTATAATGTTGATGATGTTGAGCTAACAATAAGAACGGAATATCATTTATAAGTCATTGATCGATTTTGTTTATCCCGGTAGCCTCGGTGCTTTGAAATCATTCATGGATAAATTTTCAATTCCAATCACTCCAATCGCTACTGAGGTTCAAGTGCGTACCACTTATAAATGTGCGTGCATTTTGAGGTTCTTACTTCTTAAGAAAGATATTCCAGAGATTTAGTATTGAAATTTATGTTAAGAAACGTACCGGTACACTAAGTAGGAATTTATGGTAGTGATTGTCTCATCATAACTTTCAAAAAGAAAGGTAACAGTCGACCTTCTCACGTAGTAGTCTCTTTCTGTAAAGATTGTGTATTACTGCCGCGTAGTGATTCACTGCTAAAAAAAGTTAAGTAGCCTTGTTTACATTCTTATTCTATTTTAAACTTTTCCATATCCATTTCAGTCATGGTATTTTCAAAATTTCTGATAAATTTTCTGTATTTTTTTCAATTTAGCATTTCAGGGATGCGATTAATCTTAAGATGCTTGAAAAGAATGTTGAAATGTCTATTCATTTAGCACACGAAAGCAGAACAGGTTGATTTTTACTGGTGCGTTTTTAATTTCATTTAATTTCAGACCCCTTTTATTAATTAATTTAAAACAATGTAATAGTCTTTGGCTTTTCTTCCTTTTGTAATATTATACCATGTGAACGTAAACTTTGTGAAGAATATTTATCATCTCGTGAGTGTGACCATATTTTATCCGATAAAATGGATGCATTTGTTGGTTTAATCACATTACACAAATTGTGTGTGTTAATCATCCAGATCTTGTAACTGATGGACCAAACAAATTTAGTATGAATTTCGTTTTGATAATCAAATTTAAATATTTTATTTTATTGTTTAGGGAGAAGAGCAAGGAGAAAGG